CCTCCCCCACCCATCTGGCACCCAATGACCACTCGTGCACGAAGTGGCATCTTCAAACCTAAGCTCTACTCCACATCCTTCACCTCTTCCCCACCTACTACCGAGCCTGTTACCTATAAAGAAGCCTCCCAAAATAGTTATTGGTGTCAGGCTATGGATGACGAATATAAAGCCCTGCTTGATCAACACACATGGGAGCTTGTTCCGGCACCTCCAGACCGGTTTCCTATTGGATGTAAGTGGATTTATAAAATTAAGCATAATGTTGATGGTTCTGTTTCCAGGTACAAGGCCCGTCTTGTGGCCAAAGGTTATACACAAGAATATGGTTTGGACTACTCTGAGACCTTTAGCCCTGTGGTCAAACAGCAGACCATTAGAGTGGTTCTCTCACTAGCCGTTAGTCAGAACTGGCCCCTTCACCAATTGGATGTCTCCAATGCTTTTCTTCATGGTGTCATTCCAGATGAAATCTATATGAAGCAGCCCCCGGGGTATATCGATCAGTAGTATCCTCATTATGTGTGCAAACTGAGGAAATCTCTTTATGGATTGAAGCAGGCGCCACGGGCTTGGTACCAACGTCTCTCTGGGTTCCTTGTTGACTATGGCTTTGGAAAAAATGAACATGACAGAAGCTTCTTTGTCAAACACTCTCCCTCCGGCATCCTCATTGTTCTACTTTATGTTGATGATATTATTGTCACTGGGAGTGCCTCTTCTCTTATTTCCTCATTTATTCAGGCCATGCAAACAGAATTTCAGATGAAGAATCTTGGTCCTCTCCATTATTTTCTTGGCCTTGAGGTGACACGCAAACAGGGCCAGCTCATTCTATCACAGGAAAAATATGCGCGTGAACTCCTTCACAAGGCGGGAGTTGAAGACTGCAAACCGGCACCCACACCCCTACCCGTACGGCAGTCCGAGGAGGGGGAAAACCGTCCATTTGAGAATCCCACTTTTTTCCGTAGCTTGGTTGGATCTCTTCAATATTTGACAAATACACGCCTGGATATTCAGTTTGCTGTCAACTATGTTTGTCAAAGGATGCATGCACCCACTGAGCAGGACTTTCAATCGTTGAAACGCATTCTCCGCTATGTCAAGGGGACCATTGACCATGGGTTAATATTTCGGCGTGGCCCACAAACCATCCATGCATACTCTGATTCAAACTGGGCCAATGATATGACAGATGGACGGTCTGTTACAGGTTATTTGATATATCTTGGGCATAACTTAATCTCTTGGAGTACGGAAAAACAGAGTCGTGTCTCTCGCTCATCCACCGAGGCCGAGTACAGGGCCCTCTCGGCCGCAGCAGCAGAGGTGATGTGGATCACCTATTTGTTTGATATTTTGCAGATTAAGCTACCTCCTCCACACCTACTCTGCGACAACTAATCCACCATCTGCCTAACCAAGAATCCAGTGTTCCATAAACGCATGAAGCATGTCGGCACCGACTGTCACTTTGTACGCGAACAGGTAATTGCCGAAAAAATGACAGTCTCCTATGTTCCTTCCAGTGAGCAGTTAGCGGATCTTCTCACAAAGGCTCTCTCTTCACCACGCTACTCCACGCTGGTTGCCAAGCTTCCTCTCGTTTCACGATGTTCAGCTTGAGGGGGGATGTTAGGCATATATGGCAAGAAGTGTAGTTATGGTAGAATTGTTATTTATGTTAGTTTCCATATTTGGTGAATCCTAATTCATGTAGGGATTCTCACCTATATAAACACCCATGTATACAATTATTCAGTTGAGTTGGATTATTAAATCAATAGTAAAGTTACAATAATACTCAATGGGTAATTATACTTATAACAACAACAATAACAATGTCATATATAGATATGTGATCTAGCTACTGGTATCTGTAATAATCAGCAGTAGGGCAATACCAATAAAGGTTAGGAGGGTGATCATCATCATCATCATCCAAAGAAAACATATTATTATTGCAACATTCCTCACCACCACCCACCATTTGCTGCTCTGCCTCCTCCATCTTCACATACTCCGGCTGCTGCTGGTGCACGTAAATTGCAGAGCTTCTTGCCTCCGCCATTAATGGCTGCTGCAAGTTGAAGCCGCTGTAATCTAATACTAATTCGCTGTTCGACCCTCCGCCGCCACTTGAGTCGCTCTCTGGTGACCCTCCTCCTCCTCCTCCTCCTCTACCCTTCTCTTCCATGACAAGAAGCTTCTCTTTCAGCCCTTTTAGCTGAAATAATTAATGGCAACAATAATTCTTTAAAACAGTGTTTGAAAATGAGAAGGGGGCCGGGGGACACGTACGTACGTACCTGGGAAAGAAGGGCATCCCTTTGTTGTTGGAGTTTGTTGAAACGGAGGTGAAGGGAGTCGTAATCGGACTTGAGGAGGTTGAAATCCCTCTCGAGCTGCTTCGTCTTGAACCGGGCTCGCCGGTTCTGGAACCAGATCGCCACCTGTCTCGGCTCCAGCCCCAACTCCCCTGCTATCTTCACCTTCCTCTCCGGTTCGAGCCTGTTCTCCTCCTCGAACACCCTCTCCAGCGCACCAACCTGCTCCGCCCTCAGCCTCCTCTTCTTCCCCCACCTCTCCGCCGCCCCCGCCGCCATGTCCTCCTCCACTCCCTCCAACATTGCCTGGCATCCGCTGCCGCCGTACACCATCATCTCCCCCTCTGCACCGCCCAATCATCATTAAATTATGTATGTCAAGAAACCAATTCAATTAAAAGACCGTGTAAGCATAAGTAAAAGATTGATTAATTAATTACCTGATTGGGATTGGGGTTGGTGTAGGAAAAGCAAGGGGACAGGGGAGGAATCACAGAAACCGAACCTCTTCATATGCTTTAAAAGAGAAAGAAGAAGAATACTGTGATCCACAAATGAAAAGTAAAAGGTATGGTTTGGGTGATCATCAGATGGGTGACAGTGAAATGGGGGGCTATATATAAAGAGAGAGAGAGTGTGTGTGTGAAAGGAGTGCAGTGTGTGTAGCTAGAAGAAAAATAAAAAAATTAAGAAAGAGTATAGCCCCGTCTAATGGTAACTTAGACGCATCAACGTTACAGATTGACGTTAACGTTTTAAAAAGCCTAATTAATGGTCGTTTTTAGAATTTTAGTGTTAGCGTTTGTAAAATTAATTTATGTCATTAAAATTTTATTTAAAACACCAACGTATTAAAAAATGTTGTTTCCAAACAGTGCCTTAGTTGTTAGAGCATTTATAAAAGGGCGGACCGTGGCCCATCTCATTGCCAACATTTTCTCTTTTTGTAGTCCTATGTAAAACACTTGTAACGCTATCGTTCTCTCGCCAGATGTAACATTACAACTTTACAAGTATACCAAATTAGGAGTTACATGTTTTTAATTTCTAACATAGGAGTTAAAATACATTTACATTACCAATCATGATTGACGAGTGTATTTTACACGTGTGACCCGATTCCGGTCTACCAAAGACCCACCCGAGTGGATTTCTAGATTGACACGACAAGTAAAGAAGACATGAGAAATTGACCCAGTCAAAGTATCATGGAGCCTACCCGGGATCCGTGACCAGGTAAACTGGAGATGATTCATCAAGCTGCTAGCCTAACCTTCAAAGTTTACCCGAGCCTACTCGTGTAGAGGTAACCTTACCAAGTTAGGTCTCATGCACCTACTCGACGTAGCAGTAGCAGAGAGAACAAAGTGAAGTGACCCGATCGGAGTGTCTCGAAGACTACCCGGGTGTAAAATACATGATTAGGTGGAAAACATGATATACCTTCGAGAGATCACCCGGGTAGCTTTGGACCAAACCCCACCTTGGCGGATTCCATCCTTGTATGACGACAACAAACCTAGCGCGACAATCCAATTGTATTTACCCGGTGATGGGTGTATTACACCCAGGCCACGACCCGAGTCGGGTTCAACCAAGAGCAACTGGGTGAATCCCGAATAATATGCAACCAGGTAGCTTGGGTGGATCTGTACATGACTGGGTCCTGGATGCAGACCACCCGGGTGACTTTTAGGTGAACGGTCACGTAGCATGGCACTGTAGAGAAGATCCTTAAATGATCAGGATGTCCCTTCAGAAAACCACCGAGGTGGATTTCCATGACATGTTCTAGCGTGTGTATTGATAGCTCATCGCTGTTGGACAGTAGTGCTTTTGGAGCCACTTGGTTAGGACAGATTTCTCTGCACCAACGGGTCTATTTAGGTATTTTCACTCAAGCACTATGCGCCAAATAGGGACAGTTACAAAGGGAAAGCTACAAGGGAGAAAGGACAAACACTACAAGACAAAGATGCATCAGGACATGCACAATGTCACATGGCTAGACATGGGCGCATGCCAGTCTATCCCCTAGCTTTACTATAAATAGCTAGGTCTATAACCCTTAGTAGAAGGGGACAACATTTCCTCTCTTTAAAGTGTATTGTGCAAAACCTCCTTGTAATCTTCTCGTACTTAATAATAATAATCGCACTACAGGTATTCTCTCCCACAGTCCTCCCAGTCAATCTCTAGTTTTTGTGTGTCTTTAGTATCACAATTTTGCAAAGCACCCTAGACTCGGTATGGAGTAGTTTTTCTAGGTGATTAATTTACACCATCAATGATCATATATATTACTAAAAAAATATAGTAAAATGCTCATGTACAGTGTCACATTACCACATTACAGTGCCACCAAATAATAATACTACATATTTTTTCCGCATATCAATGTACACTTTTACAAATTTGACCAAGAAAGTCAAATAAAATATACTTCGTCCGTCTTGCAATTGATTACAATGTACATTATTCCAAAATCACGATATTTTTAACATTATTTATTTAACAAAAAATATTTTTATCATCTCTTATTTTGTATGATTTTTTTTCCTTGTTTATTTGTCAAAAAGAAGTAAGTCTTATCATCTTGCACCAAGTAATAAAAATTTCAATCCTGTTGACAGTTCTAAAACTAAGGAGCAACTTTTCTTTTTTCACTGAAACCACTATCGTGGCCGGTTTTGAAGACCCTGGTTTGGGTTCATCTTTTTATTTTTTTTTCTTTGACAAATCAATGGGAAAAGGGAATGCTATCATTAACCAATCAGGTACTGGAACGGAATGAACAATATAATGACACTGGATGGGAAGGGAAGAAAAACATGATTAGTACGTAGTAGGAGCTGAGTACTTTGTTTTGTTTTTTTACGCTACCGGAAGAATCTCATCTCCAATACTCCATCCCCCGTTCATATTTTCATTATAAATTGCTCTTAATTTGTATTCTATGTTAGTATAATGAAATAAAATTTTCTCGATACGATAAATCTAATAAAGTCATTTACATGTTAAAATATATTACTGTTTTTATTTAATTGTAGCTCAAAGTTTATCTAATTTGACTCGAAAAAATTAAACTGGAAAAATACATTGGGACCGAGAAAGTATATGAATTATATTTAGAAGTATAAATTTAGAGAAGAAAATTACAACAATATTTTAGTTAAATAGAATATTTAATATTTTGAAAAAAAAATTAAAAGTTAAATATTTCAATTAAATAAAATAATTAGATATTTTGAAATTTAATACTCCCTCCGTTCCCATTTTGATTACAATTTTTTTTCTCTCCTCTCGATAACTTTTGTTTATTTACACGATTTTATTAAGTATTTTTTGATAAAATTTAATATTCTTATCACCTCTTTTTTGTAGAACTTTTGATGTAATTTTTAATATATAATTTTTATTTCTTATTGATATGCCAATTTGTAAATAAAATAATATCAAAAAGTATGAAATTTTTCCTCATAAACTCCTATTGGTAATCAAATTGGGGACGTAGGTAGTATTAGTTTCAAAATTTGATATAAAGTAGATTGAAAAAATTTGAAATCTTGACTTAATTAGTGATAGACAAGGATGACTAGTGGTATAGCAAGTCATTTCACATGATCATCTCCAACCTTTGCTTGCTATAATTTAGCAAAAATGTATTGATTTCACTATTAGAGTACATTATTTATTATGATTTTAAAATTTTATTATAAAAATTAATTAATATTCTACAAGTATGCAATTTAAACTTAAAACAAAATAAATTTTATAATTTTTTTGGTAAAAAATAAAATTATTTATTTGTAAAAAACATAAAATAATATTTATTAATTTTTCTTGCGTTGTGGTACTGAAAGTGAGGGGATAAATGTGTCATGGTACATGAAAAAACTAACCCAACCAACATTTTTCTTCTTCTTTTTGACTTGCTATATTTTATCAAGTTTGTTATTAGTAACAAGCCATTTTCATTTTTAAGCAAGCTTGTCAAACATTAGCAAGCCCCTTGGAGTATGAAATTTTACTTAATTTGTCAAATTCTAGCATATAACAAGTCTTTTTAACATGGTTGGAGATGCTCTTAGATCCACCATATAATTTGCTCTTTTGGCGACCCTTTCTCTTCTTTATTGTTGATGTTAATGATGTGAAATGACTTTATGCCCTTTTAGTGTTATATTTAAGTAAATTCCCCCTTTTTCTTTTTTACTCCATAAAATATACTCACCTGTCCCTAAAAATATTCACAGTTTGTCTTTTTTGGTCAAATTGTGTTATTCTTTGACCACGAATTAAATATATTTTAAAATAAATAAATGTTATAAAAAATTGATGTTTCAAAACTATACTGTAAAATTGGAATTTTACTAAATTTACATCATAACTAAATATACTTTTTCCACGATTTGGGATCAAAGGTTACCTCAGTTTGGCCAAAAAAGTCAAAATGTGACAATTTTTTAGGGACAAAGGAAGTAATATTTATCCTAAAAGTAAGAATTTTATATTTTTATTTTCAAGATAAAAATCTGCAATGTGACATTATGACACAATATAGTAACATTCTCTATATTTTTTGGTAACCTTGTTGATATTGTACTCCCATTTTGGTAGATAAAAAAACATGAAACTTATATTTTAGTTATTTATGCTATTTACTTTTAATTTAAATCTTTTTCCTATATTAATTACAAAAGAGCGCGGAGTATTTGTGAACATAAATTTAAAATTTTTAATTATTTAAATTTATTTTGTTTTTTTACAATCATAAATAGTATGTTGGTAAATTTTATGACTATTTAATTTGTAACTCGTACTTTTTATTGAAAAAAACAGTTCTTTTTCTTCAAGACAACCATTTCACCTAACGGTTGACAAAAGCTACGGGTTTTTTTTCGCTTTCCAGTTTTTCTTTTATTTAATCAATGGAATAATAATATTCCTTTCCGACTTAATTAATTATCTAAAAACAATAAATTAAAAATTCAACTGATAAATATTGTGACAGGAGTCCCTTGAAAATCAGTAGAAAGGGCAAAGGCAAAAGTACATTGTAAAATTAGGCCTTGTTTTCAAAACAATGTTTTTAATTAGTGTTAATATTTTGAATAATTACTTGTAATTTGTGTTGCTCGTAGTAATATTCTCTTGTGGTTTGGTGTTTAAATGAACTGCTTTCAGTTCAAACGTTTCGAATAAATTTTTTTTAAAATGTAAATTAATTTTAAAAATCATAAAATTGCACATTATTATTATACTTTTCAAAATGCTAAAGCTATTGCCTAATAAATTCTTAATTACTACACACTCCCTGGTTTGGTTAACTTATCTTTGTGTTTTATTAATCTAAAGAAAAATTAAGATTATCTGTTTGAAATTTATGCATGTAAAAATAAAACGAAGTATTCTTTAGAACACTTAATTTTTCGAAAGAAATAATCAAAGTGGATAGTGGAAACGAAATTAAGATGCGGATGGAGTATTAATATTTTAATGGCTCTTCCAAAACTTTGACTTTCACACCATTAAAAGAAAATACAGTAATAATTTTTTAGTGTAATTTATTTTTATAAAAAGGTCTTGTGCAAAAATTTACGTAGTACATTAGTATTAATGAGATGAAAAAATATTTTCATATCCCAAAGTATTTATCCAACTTTGATTTTTTGCAGTCACCTAAGATCAAATTTTAGTCTATTATTAATATA